TGCAGGCCTGCAAAACTACTAGAAGTGTGCATTTTTCACTCGCACGGTATTTCCTACACTCGAGCGGTGTTGCACTCGAACAGTCCTTCTTGTGCTTGAGCGATAGTCCTCTGTCTATAAAACTTCTAAAAGTTTGTATTTTATGCTCGAGCGATGATTTCGTATAGTCGAGTGGTCTCATCTTTTGTGTCTGGACACTCGAGCGACACTTCTTGCGCTCAAGCGGTCTGCGCGTATATCAGTCCGTAAAAGTCACTTTTTACATCACTTTTTCTTCTCTCTCTCTCTCCCTCTAAACATTTTGAAACACTAAGTTGAGACTTTCTCTCTCTAAAAATCACCTTCTCTCTACAAATACACCTAGATCCGTCAAGTCCTTCACATGTGTCCTTTTGTTAAAAAGGTAGAGCACGTCGTGGGCTTCCTTTTGATCTAAACAAAGTTGGGTTTTGGCGTCTTTGAAGTTTCTCCATTCTCTCTCTTGTCTTCTAAGCTTGAGGTAAGGATATCTCCACACTTATTGAGATTTTGGAAGATTTGGAACAAATCTAAAGTTTTGGGTAAAAATCAAAGAGGAGTTTGTCAAGTGGATCCTTGAAAATGATTTTGTTGTGGAAAATAATGTTGAATTGGGAATAAATGGTTGATTTTGATATTTGGGATTGATTTTGGAAAAAAAAAAAAAAAGTTTTTCCCTAAATGACTCAAATGTTGGTTTTATATAAATAATGAGATTGAGATTGAAATTATGAAATTGAAATCATGTTTCTGAGGATGGTGGAGTTGGATATGTATTATTACTCACCTCATGAAATTTTAGAGAGTTTATCTTTTTTGAAAATTGTTTATCTGTTTAGAAATATCTATTTTGAACTATTGGTGGAGAATAGTTATGATTGTTGTAGAAATTGCATCTGAATTAGGGGAATTTGAAACTATTTTTCTCATTCATTTGCATTGAGCATTAGCTCACACCTATACATTGGAAATGTTACCGTTTTGGGAAAATGGATGAATCTGGGAATGAGTTGTTGTTACATCAAATAAGTTGGACTGTGTGTCCAAGGTGAAAGTTTCGAAAACCACGCGTATACATGGGTGCCAATCCGACAGATGAAATATCCGTAAAATGGCAATAATAGTACTTGTATAGCCTACGTTTACATGGGTAACGATTTACGGTTTTAGGCAAACGAATTTTCTGTCAAAGGTTGTATTGGTTTTGAGATTCCCAAAGTGTGATTCACTGTCTTATTTTCTATTGTGAATGAAATGATTTATGAAATTATGATATTAACTTGGCATTGCATAGTTTTGGAAAAAGATATCAAATGTTTTGGCATGAGCATTGCACATGCATCCATCTTATAGCTTTGTTGGATTATTTTTACTGGGTTGTGGCTCATCCCACATAGGAAGAACATTTCAGATGCTAATGATATGTCTCTGCCAAGGTAATAGCTTGGGAGGACTTAGAGCAAGAGCTTCTTTTATGTATTTAATATATTTATTTTTGTTCAAGCTAAGGGCTTTAATTTTATTGGACATAAGTTCACTTTTGTTGTAACCAAGCGCTATCTTGGAAAGTTGTAAGCCTTTAGGGCGTTCATTTATCTGTTTTACCTTTGTATCTTACCTGTTATTGTAACATTTGCTTTCGATTCAAGTATAGACTTATGAATGTATATCTGCATATGTTACCTTTTTGTACATGTAATTGGGATAAATGAAAGATAATTATTTCATCATATGTTGTTATATAAGTAATATTGTAAATGGTTTATAGCAATTATTTCAGGGCGTTATAAAAATTGTAAGGGTATAAAGAGATAGCTTTGTGGTATAAGTATAATTTCCCTATATATACATGTATGTATGCATTTTATTTACATAACATATCCTTTAGGCTGTGTTTAGTTGAAAGATTTAGGGAGGGATTTAAAAAGAGAAATAAAAAAAGTATATGAAATTAAGTAAAATAATAATATATTTTATTCATATTTTACCTATCTTTTCTTTTTCCTTTCTAAATTCCTTCTTAAATTTCGCAACCAAAGACAACGTTAACATACCTTCACTACCGTATGTACCCATGCATGCACTCACTCTATACACTAACACTTGCCACAAAATTAGGTCATACTTTATCACTTTCTGTCATATAATATTTGAACATACATTTGTAGCCATCCTACTGGAGATGTTCTAAAAATCAACTGAATTTAAGAATGAAAATGGCAAAAAAGATTTTAGTTAAATAAGATCAATACATTGTGTTCAGAGCGTTTAAATAAATTGATAAAAGGAGTAACAAGTGTTGTTCTATAAAAAAATATGACATTAAGAAATCCTGATCGGTGTATCCATTTCTTTGTGTTTTCTTAAATTATCATTGAAGTATTATTAGAATAAGTGTGTAATGAGTTCTTAATCAGAAAATGTAAATCCCTAAATTCTGATTTTAGCTAAAAATGTCAATCTCTGCTTTTTGCTTGTGGAGTTCCTCCTCCCCCCTTCCTAAACTTGTTAGCCCTTGAGAAGCTCATGCCAGGACTCAGTACCAAAATCATTCTATAATAAAAATTCCAAAAATTTCTGAACATATATAAATTTATGCAAAAAAAACTTGACAAGAATGATATGGCATTATTATTATTGTAAATAAACTCATCTTCAATAGTATTTTGTTTTAAAATGAAATTTTTTGGATAAATTCGGTTTCTAACAATTACAGGAATCTCCCATGTAATCTCAATAATTACAAAAGCATCCTTACTTTTGAAACTATTATTAAGATTTTCCCACCGTTAATCTTTTGTTAATTTATTTTTGTTACAGAATATAATAACATCACGCTAACGTCATGTATTATGAGTAAACAATTCCAAGATTGCTCTTATATATTCAAATAGTAAATTTCACTCATTTCCCCTGAGGTTTTACAAAAAAATTAATAAAGACTCATTCATTATTTCAACAATGTTAAACAAAATTATAAAATTCTATACAATATTTCAAAAAATTCTTAATTGTTAAGACGACCATATATATAGTAGAATAACCAAACATTACCTTATCCAAATATATATATATATATATATATATAAAAGAGCTAATAAATTGATCACCATTAAATCTTATACTAGATTAAATACTCATGTATTTGAAAATTGCGTATAAAAGATGTTTTATTTTTTAAAAAGACCACCAAATTTATAAATAATTATTTTGAGAAATTATAGTTTGAATAAAAATTTAAAAATACATATTGGTATTTGATTATTTATATTTTTCCGTATGAAAAATACATATTTGGAGAAATTGCCCATATCTTTCCATTTTCTTTATTTTATTTCTTTCATTTTTCTTTCTATTTATTTTCACATTCATTTTTTCATAGTAACACTACAGCAAATAGCAACACATTATTATTATTATTATTATTATTATTATTATTATTATTATTATTATTATTTGTTCTCATCTCTATATTTTTTTCTCAATTTTTTTCATCATTTTTTTTCTTTCATCAATGTTAGCTAGCATCACCAATACCATAGCAACTTACAAAACATGAATTTTTCTTTTGTTTTGTAAACATATTTGTGTATTAAATTTTTTTAAGAAAACTAAACAAAATGACATTTCATATTTATAATAAAAAAAATTGACTTATAAAAATTACCAAATGTTACCTCTCAAATATATAATAAAAAAAACTATCATTTTATCTTTTCACAATCCTATATTATTCTCAAATTTTAATTATCATTAAAAAAATAAGTCAATATTTCTCACGTTAATAATAAAATTTTAAAAAATAATTATAAAAGTGAAAAAATATCTAGTCACGTTACAATAAACTAAAATTAGATGATTGGGAATGAATGGTAAAGAAATTATTTGACAATAATAAACTATTCAAATTTGTCATTTCTTCTTACATCTAATTAAAATAGAATTTTACTTGAAGAAATAAATTATTTGAAAATAATAAAATACTCAAATAATTTGTTATTTATTACATCTAAAATCTATATCTCCATCTTTGTTTCTTGCATTTAAATTATTTTTATTAAATTAAGACTAGGTTTGACATCTCTTAAAAAAGTCAAAAAGTTAAAAAGTCACTATCATATTTAAGTCACATCATTTTATTTAAGTCACATCACCTCTTTACCACATCACTTCAAATTCAATCTATATTTCATAAAAATTCAAAAAGTACACTTATTTAAAACATTCCAAGCAATCCCTAAATCTCAAAATTAATTCAAATTAGAAGCATGGATATTTTTTTCTTAATTTCATTAATGGTTGATTTTTTATTATTATTATTTTTTTTAACTTATAAAAGTTCAAAACTTATAGTGGAAAACAAAAAATACAAAGTCAAAGAAAAAAAAAAGAAATTGTGAGTAATAAAATGATAATTTAATATATAAATAAATTACAATTAAAACGTTTTAAGTGTAAAGAATATTATGACCCTGTTTGGTACAGCTTATTTCAAACTTATTTCAGCTTTTAGCTTAATTTAAACTATTTTGATGTGTTTAGTTCAACTTAATAATATAGCTTATAGTTTTTTGTAAGTCAAAAATCAACTTATTCTTTGAGTAGAGGAAGAGAAGCTTAATTTATAATTCAAAAATTAACTTATGTTCACAGTTATAAGGTATAAGATGTTAAGCTATAAGTTATAATCACTTGCCCACAGCTCTATCAAACGGGGCCTATAGTCATTTGCACAACCAAGTTAACACCATTTGGCTTAAACTATCAGGATGGAAAAATCTTGATAAAGTCAAAAAAAAGTAACATAAATTTCTATAATTATTAAAACTACAAGAGAAGTCCCTATAATTGTCAAAAACCTCAGGGAAGTGCGTGTAATTTACCCAAAATAAATTCATTTTGCCACGTCGTTATGTATGAAAATCATATATGAATTTTTTATTTGTATAACATTGCTCTAAAAATCCGAAAAACAACAAAAAGGACTTTAGTTTTACTAATTTTATTGTCTATGAAAAAGGGGCTCTCTATCAATACAACTTCTGTGCATAGAATGAGACGACTATTCTCAACAAACTCAGCTCGACAAAAAATGGAATCAGCAATGAGGACTGTTCTGTTCAACACCACAGCAGACAACAATTTTACATCATATAATAAGCCTACATTATATCATCACTGATCAACAACAAATGAAGATTTTCAAAAAGTAAAAGAAAAATTTAAAGATATTGATAATGTTGTACCTGACAATATTACAAGAGGGAACAAAGAAAAACAAAAATCTATTTTCTATAACCACAAGCCTTCGGCCAACCTCTCAAAGCAAACTCCACATTCTGCTGTAGCTCTTTACACAGCAATGGAGAGTGATTTTCCACCATATATGTCGGGAATACTAGCTTCATGTGCATGACCTTCGCATTTCTATTATTTTACTCCCATCTAGTTTTTGTGCATATCCAAACATGAAAAGATCTCTGCCTAGCAGTCTTTAAGATCTCTGTTTCATCTGCACGAATAATTAGTAGAGATTACACGTTAAGTGCATTAAAGATGATTTCTGAGAGAAAACCATTAAGGAAATGTGATCAATTGGGTCCAATTGGTTTGCATATCTAATCTGCTGTTTGACAAAAAACACCAATTGGTCCCTTTTTTTTTTCTCTTTTTTTCCCTGCTGTAGTTCTATAATAAAGTGGCAAAAGGAGGCTTACTCAGTTAATGAGGGATCTGGAGAAGAATGAATGAGACAGAATACAAACACACAGAAATTGCAACCCCCGCGAGAAAATTATGAAGCAACTGCTTGTTATCTCTTGTGGGTAAAAAAACTGACTTCAGGGAATTTGTTAGTTCAAAGAGCCGAAGTGATATCTGCATTGGTAACCCAAATAACACCAGAATGTGAAAATTTGAAGTTACTGTGTGCTCTTTAACTCTACTCATGTAAACCACCCTTATAACAAAATAACAGGCATGAAGAAAAGATTTGCTCACCAATACATAAACAGCAGTTGTGAGCATGAAGTTGAGCATAGGATATTCCGGAATAAAAGAAAGAAGCCACTTGGGTTGTCCATTAGGCACGTCCGACCTGACACACATGTTGAAAAGGACTCCTTGTCAGCTCCAAATATATATATTAATGTCTACTTGTCATAAAAATAATCAGATGGGGCAAAAACAAATTTTTCTTCTAATATTTTTGACAAAGGAATGTGCGAAATTAAATATGGAAATGAATAATTTTGGTATTCAAGGAGTTATTCCAAACAAATATGCCATTTTACAGAATAGAAAATAAAATGGGTTTTCCTTGTTCATGCATATATCAGGAAAGCAATACATTAAAAAGGTATCCACAAGTAATGAACAGATAATGAAGCTGGCTTTAAGCTTAAATGACATGAAAGAATTTCATTTAATTAAAAACATGGACTCTGAATAAAAAAGACTAAAATGGGAAACAATGAAATTTAAACACCTCAGCCAGATATGGAATTGGGAAATATAGGTCTCCAAGGTAATCTTGCCAAGCCACCTAGAAGCACAGACAATTAGCAAAAAGCACAAAATTAAAACTGAACATGAGATAACACTGTAAAGAGGTGCATCATTGTAAAATGGTTCAATCAAACAAATCAAAGAGAACTTACGCAAAAAGAGTCAATGAGAAATTCCGAAGTTCCTGAGTGAAATTGCGCAAGCAAATGTAAACACTGAAATCATAATAAAGCAGAGATGAGAGTAAGATACTGCAATGAAGCAAAAACTTATGACATGACCCACTATGCTGGACTTCTTTATACTAACAAATCTATGGAGAAAAAATAATAACAATAATGCTGATAACACTAATAATATATAATGTCAGAATAAAATCAACTTAATAGGAGTTCGAATACACACGTTATCGGGATCCATGATGTGTAGGGATGGAACTTGTTGTATGTAACCTTGTCCAACTTGTAAATATATTCATACCAGAGATAGCCAACCTGAAAAGAAGAGTGCATAAAAATAGGAACATAGAGTCCAGAAATACAAGAAAGCTCATTTGAAACCCAAGAAGATGATAGAGATACTCCAATCACAACAAAATGCAACTCACAAATACAGAAACTGCAACAATGGACGTTTTGATTGTGCGTCTACGCTTGGCTTCAGATTCCTCTAATTTCTCCATCAACTTCTCAACCTAAAACATAATAAATTTTAAACTTCAGAAGTTGGCACACAAGAGCAGCAACCATAAAATCACCAAACCTTTCAAGTAATTACACTGGGGTGAAAATAGGCATATATCATTCCAATGATCCATATGTAGCGATCAAGTCCAGATCTGAAATGCCATTCATGCAATAGAGGAAGATCTGGTTTTGCAGGATCAGTGTACTCTGCCATTGTAAATAACTTAGATGATTAGACCTGCAAGTATAAATATACTCTGCAAAGTTGAAAACCCAGCTCAATTGCACTTTTGCAGCAGGGTTCAACTTGAAACAAGTCAACTCTATAGAAAAAAATAGTAACACTATTAACGTTTATGAAATTGTTTGATATCAAACAATACATCAGAAAATATCAACTTTAATTTTCCGGCGGCAAAATTGAAACTAAAGAAGAAGACAACAAAAGCGCATATACAAGGTGTACAAAGAACTATACGAGGCCCACTAAAGATGAAACATAAAGGCTCCGTTTGGTAAGCCTCTCAAATTGTAGTTCCACCCATTAATTTGAGTGTGTTGTTTGTTTTGAGTTTTCAAATCATAATTCTACACCCATTTCTCAAAACACAATTCAAAACATAATCATTATTTTTCAAAACTCATAACCAAACACATAATTCAAAACTCTTTTCAAAATTTAATTCAAATCAATATTTTCATTTTGTTAATATTTTAAATATTTTAATATTTAAATATGTTACGATTTTTTTTAATTTTTTGAATATTTTTAAATATTTTAATTTCAAAATATTACGATTTGAATTTTTTAAATTTAAAATATTTTATAAAAATAAATTCAAACTCCATTTTATAAAAATATTTTTAAATATTTTAATTTTTTTGTTATGTATTTAGTTACGATTTGAGTGTAGAGTTGTGTTTGATTATGAGTTTTAAAAATAATTTCTTAAGTGAGTTTTATTTTATGTGTTTGGTTACGATTTGAGTGTAGAGTTGTTTTTAAATTTAAAATATTAACATTTTAAATTATTTAAATTTTTTTAATATTTAAATTATTTAAATTTTTACGATTTAAATTTTTTGAATATTTATTTTAATTTTTTACTTATTAAATTTTTTAGATTATTTAATTTTTTTGAATATTTATTTTGAAAAAAAATTATTTCCTTTGTAGTATTTTGAATTAAAAAATTGATTAATATTATTTTCTGTTAATAATAAATTTTTTTAATTGAATTTTAAAAAGAGTTTGGTTATGATTGTTGATCAGAATTTTCAATAGTGTAAAAGTAGTGTGTTTTGTTATGAGTTATAACAATTTGAATTAAGTTTTTAAAACTCTTTTCAAAACTCATAACCAAACAAATTTTTTTACTTCACATGTCAAATCAAACTTTCAAAACTCAATTCCACACTCAATTCAAAACTCGATTCGACACTCTATTCAAAAACCATAACCAAACAAATTTTCTACACTCAAATCATAATTCCACAACTCACAAACTCAAAATACAATTCATACTCTCAAATTATATTTATAAAACTCTACCAAACATAACCAAAAAATTTTAAAAAAATTAAAAAAACCGATCAATATCTGATCCAGCACTAGTTTACTAAGTAAGCAGACCCAGACCCATTTGAGCATAATTAACATTGTAGTTTTAAACTAGTAGCATATAGTTTGATGGAATAGTGTCGGAGGTCAGTTACTAACCTAGCAGGAACGTTAAAGGGCTCCACAAGAAGTAAAAAATTCCAGGAATTTCCCAAACTGCAATAACCAGGAGAACGCATGACAGTATCTTCAAAGCCATCACTGATCTTATCTCATTATACTTGCTGAAAATACCAAGGGCTCCATACACTAGAAGCGTGAAAAGCGTGTGCATTGGGCAGATGTAATACAACATATAGTTGTTGTTAAGAACAATACAACAAAATGCCACGAAGAAATTTAGTCGCCACATCATCTGCATAGAAAGGCCAAAAAAGATCCAAAGGCATCCTATATTGTTACAAAAAATTTAAAAAGTGAAAATTAAGGAAAATGGTAATATGAACAAAATAATAAACGGTGTCACCTGAGCAAACCTTGCAACGCTAAAATCCTTCCGGATGTAATAATAGGAGAAGTTTCCAAATCCAGTCATCCAAACATATGCAGCAATAAAAACACGTATTGCATTGTATATTTCCGTTGCAGCAAAGTAGTGATACATAAGAAAGAGGACCTGTTGAAAACACAGCAGCAAAATTTATTAAATGTTAGAAACTACTTGGAATAAGATAAACTACTTGAAACTACTTGAAAGGTACTTGCCTGCATCCATCCTTTCCACTCTTCTGTTTGATGCCGATTAAGGTAAAGTAAGGATTTTCCAGAAAATGCTGATTTGTCATTATGCTTCTTGAGAGATGTCATCGCCGAGACTATGATAAGAAGAATGTAAAGAAAGAGGAAGAGATCCCGATTGTATTTCTGCTCATGCACAAAAAAATAAAATAAAACAAAAAAAAAAAAAAATTATCAAATTCAAATAAGACAGATTCCAGCCCTTGCATTCATCAAACTGGGACTGGTAAGCAAGGAAATTGACACTAAGTCATAAAATTAGCCGCTTAAGCAGTGGTAAATATTTTTTGGAAAGCAAGGTTTGTTATTGTATTCTGTTGAAATTAGATATGGTATTAAGATATATATTCAACATACTAACTCTTGAATAATAATGTTAAGACATGTCTATTCTTTTCTGTTTTCTCATCATTCTCATTGTTTCCCTTTCCTATCTTATTAGCTCTGTTTCTTATGAGGGATAGATAGGGCTTTACATCCTCTTTTTAAATTTATATCAAACTCTTATTAATGCATCTGTTGTGTCCTATCAAAAATAATAGCAAACCCTTTTCATTTATTCTGAAAATTGAGAATGATTAGAAAAAGGAAGGAAGAAATTACAAGGTTTCAAACGTTCACATTTGTCCCTAAATAGCAGCACCATGCCATGCATGAATACCAATAAGAATTTATTAATTAAAGATGGTCCACACGCCATTCATCTCTCAATGAACATGTAATTAACACGCGCAAAATATAAAGACTTAAAGCAAGTATTAAAATTTTTTAAAATAGTAGGAAATGTTGGAGGTGTGTCCGACAGGTGTTGGGAAGTGTCGGATAAGTGTTGTGTCGTGTCGGACACTGACACAACATGCCATCAATAAACCTACTACTTTGAACAGAGGCCTCGTTTGGGAAGTGGCTATTTTAGTAGGCTATTTGGCTATTTGGCTATTTTAGTGGCTATTTTAGTTTTTGTGTTTGGGAAGATGAGATGATTTTTTAGTTGAGTTATTGTATTGAAAAGTGTGTTGAAATGATGTTTAAATTTAAAATGACAAATTTATCCCTAAAAATATATTTTTTTAAATTGATATCAAGGGGTAAAATGGTAATTTAATTATTGATGGGACAAAGGTTGTAGCTGACAGTGTAGGCACAGCCTACACTGCCGGCTGTGCAGAATTTTTTTTTTTTTTTTTTTTTTTTGGGAAAAGGTTGCAACAGTGTTGCTTTTAGGCTAATTTGTCAAAATAGGCTATAATAGCCTTATTTGGTGCTTCCCAAACAGCACCAGAGAAATTTCCGTTATTTTAAACCAAACACAAAAGGATTCGATCTTCTAATTTTCCTTTAAAAAGAATGATCTATACAAGGATTGTTTAATGTATGACACATCAAAGACACAAAAGTGAATGCGTTATCCACTTAATTGAACATCTACTTTACACCAGTATTTAGTTTGAGGATTTTTTTGCTTGACAATTAAAAGCGCATAAATAAACACGTCATAACCATCGCTGATCATATACAAATATTCAACTTGGTAATATATGGAATTGGCATGGACCCTTATTGAAAGGACTCATGCCTATGTCAAACATAAAACTCCTCTGGCATGCCTATGGACATGCTGGACATGTCTTAAAGTGCCCATATTTTACATATAAATGACATCCAAAAGGCCATAAATAAAGGTCAACCAGACAGTGAACAACTTAAACATAAGAAGAATGTAGTTGAAAAAGAAGAAAAATAATTATGAAACAACCACAATATGTAGAGTTTTTTTTCTTTTAAAACTTTCTTTCTTTCTTGCTTTCTTTCTTCCTTCCTTCCCCCACCCAAACCCCCAACCCCCCCAATTTTGACACTCTTATGCATATATGGAGGAGCTAATACAAGGATTTACAAGTTTACTGGCAATGACTTCTTGTCAAACTAGACCTGGAATAAACTACTTGTAAATTTGAAAACATTAACAGGACAGTACACCATATCAAACCCTACTATAGTTTTTGAACATAAGAGTGCAGATTCAGGCAGATCACCTATACTTTACACCCAATTGTGGTTACCCTAGTCAGAAGAGAAAAACCTGTGTGAGCCCCATAGAATAGAGTTTGACAAATGATACGTGCTTATGGGTTAGCTTACTGGAGAACTTCATTAATTTAATGATAAAACAGGCCAAAACATTCCCACAACTCTATCACTATTTGTTAACCATTACAAATAATTTATCCAGTTACTGCAAAAACTAAAAAAGATTGTTATACATGTATCTTCACTTTCGATCGATAAAAGAAATCCATGGGCCAATTCTTCAAAGGTGTGCTAACACGCGTCAACATGGACATGTGAGCTGACACATGTCATGTAATAACCCGACCCTCGTACATGCTTTCTGATATATTTTCGGACCCTATTTTGTGTTTTTGAATGCTTATTGTGAAATCCTATGAGGAATTAAGGTTAAGTGAGTGAACCCCATGTGTAAGGATGCCTATCTGTTTAATAAGAAAAGTATTTGTTGCAACTATAAAGTTTGAATCAGAAATTGGAAGCCTTAGAGGCTTAAGTATCTGAAATTGAGTTTATATATGTGATCAGCATAATTTTTAGATAATATTAAGCGTTTCTGTGAAATTTCAATTTCAGATGTTTAAACGATTGATTTTCGTCTTTATTCCCTCTTTGTATATGTATGTCTATAGAAGCCTCATTGAACTCAAGACTTAGGAACTTTCTTATAAAATATTCCCTAGGTGAAAAGTGAAGAGAGGATAAGAACAAGGAAGATTTGAGAGCGATTGAAGCTAAGGTAAGTTTAATTTCCCTAGTCTAATCCTCTTTCTCAATTAGAAATAGGCAGCTCTTAATGTTGTCTAATCTAGAGTGGAATGAAAGTCTTGGATGTGTGTGTTGAAGACTTGGTATGATAATCCTATCATTTGTGTATTTTGAATCCAATTCAAGTTATCTAGTGAGAGCATCATCTTGTCTCTTTACTTATCAAATTGGTATTCATGCTTATGCCATGTTTTTGTATATCTATGTTATGTGTGTGTAAAGTTAAGGGCCTCAAGAATGAAATTGTGTTGATGAGCTTCAACTTTTGTTCAAACTAATTGAGTTGTATTCATGGGTTTAATTCAAGTTAGATTATGGTATGTTGTACCTTTAATTACATGTTTTTAAACCATGATTTAGCCCTCAAAAGTTTCAACTTAGAGCCTTACAAACACTCCCAAAGAACAAGATTTTGTTGCAATTTTCGGACCCAAACAGGTAAATCGCCCCACGTGCGGGAGTCACTGCCGCACGTGCGGCAAATGCTGAATTTTGAGGGTTTGGTTCTACTTAAAAGGCACGTGCGGGGGAATTTTGCCGCACGTGTAGGGGAATAGGGAGTTTGCCGCACGTGCGGCCCATGCTGAAAAACATGGGTTGCTCCGTTTTGCGTGTAGAACCCTCTAATATTGTCAGAATATATATTTGATGCCTTTTCGATATTTATAAATTCCTTCGAAGTAAAGCGAAACAGAAAGTAATTTGATAAGAAAGATGAACTAAATTGTAAGTTTTGAATGTGTGCAGGGCACACTCCGGGAGGAACAAGCACGTCATCACAACACTGTGAGTAGTTGTACCATTATATGCTTCACATGTAGCTAATGATTGTCATGAGCATTGTGTTCACGCACGATATGCAACTATGTTAATGTTTCAAAGTATGTAAGAAAGAAAAGGGAAAGATGAAATACGTCCATTCTATAAAACTCTTAAATCAAGTTGTTCTGTTATTATGATATGAAACAAAGTGCTATACGGAACTAAGTGCTACGATGTGAGTCACCTCTAGAGTCCGTGTGAGACACCTCTTGAGTTCATACAAGCATGTTCAGGGGCTTAATGCCAACTTATTCAAGAGCTTAATGCCAAATGATTTAAGGGCTTAATGCCAACTTATTCAAGGGCCTCGTGCCACCATGTTCAAGGGCTTAACGCCACCATGTCTAAGGGCTTTGTGCCACTACATTTAAGGGCTTAGGGCCATCATGTTTCAAGATATTATGTTTCAAGCCATTACGTTCAAGAATGGGCCCAAGGCCGTTATGAAATTAGTACAGACTCATACTAACTATGTGTGCATCTTCTTACGCTTTGGTGTATTATATTTCAAGTTAAGCGTCGTTTTATTTATGTATTCCTACTCACTGGGCCTGGCTCACTCTGTGTTATGTCCGTTTCTGTAGGTCACCAACCAGGTGGTCAATCCTAAACCAGGACGCCCGTCCTCTTTTGTCAACTCTTGTGTGTCCAGGCACTAGACGAGGTCATTTATTTTTGGCAAGTTTTGCTAAGATGAGGCTTGTGTTTTGATTGTCCATCTAGGGTTGATTGTACATAACTTCTACATTTTTGTATACGCCCAACCATGGGGCTGGGACTGTTTATATGTATATATAACAGCTGCTCAGGGACATATTACTGGACTTTATCTGCCTATGCTGATGTATGTAATGTATGTGATCCTGGCATATTAGAAATAGCTCAATGGAATTTGTTTGTATCAGCGTTATGTTATTATTTAATGCTTCCGATAAGGCCCCGTATGTTAAGTATACCAGGTTAAATATCCGTTTTTAAGTAGGTCATGCCCAAACTTTTAGGGGCGGGTTTGGGGCGTGACATGTCAACACTTCTTTGAATATGTACAACAGTGTCCCTTTTATTTCATGTTCTGATTGGATGGCAATAATAACAGTTTGGGTGCATCATGCACCCAATCATTCCTCAAAAGATGTTATTCACATAACGACAAAGGCACATTCAGCCAAGAGGCCCACAACACGAATATTCTTATTGGCCCTCAAATTTGTTCATATCTAAAAGGAAAACTCTATCTGTACATAAAATTTTAACAAAAATGATGTGGCAATGCTATTGTTGCAAATAAACTCATCTTCATGGTTGTTTTGTTTTAAAGTGAATGGCCCTCATTGAGCCACATCGTTCTATATGAAAATTCTGTTTGAATTTTCTGTTTGTATATCACTATAAAATTACACCTCCCAAACTACTATGCTCATTTATATTTGTAGCCGAGCTAATACTCACTTCACAAATATACCCTAATTTAAAAATAACATGTAAAATTAAAAAGTTCCATAAAAACATTAAAATTTACAAAGTTCATACAGAAATTATGTAAGGTATAGTTATAAAATATAAAATATACAAAGAAAAACATATGTTGATTTTTAGGGATGCCCTGTTAGACACCTTGTGCCCTTATCAACGCTAGAAACTTGTGTTTGTATCCACAAATCATAATTTGAATTAATTAAAGCAAGAGGTAAGGTCAATTGTTTAGCAATATTTCCAATTTGATGTTGGCATAGACTAACAAAAGTTCTGGTTCATTGTGTGTTTCCTCCACATATTTATGAGTATGAATTCCAAAACAAGAAAGGTAAAGCAAGATTGGATTTGTGACCTTCTTGTTGATGTACAAAATGTTAATAATGTCAAACTATAAAGCTTAAGGGGATGAGGCAATGGGGGTGTCCATGTCCACATAACTCAGATAAGGATTGTTCATTTCATATTTTTTTTCCCTCAATAACTGGTCAAAATAGATGAAGCAAAATTCTTTGAACTGATCAACTTTGACCTTTGATTTAGGCCTTCTTGATGACATGTCATATTGCAATAACAAGTAAATTTGCAATATGTATGCTTATAGAATTTTGTTTCACATAGAAAATGTAAAATTATTTTCCATTAACCTAGTCCAAGTAAGATATGAATTTGCACATGGACAAGGCCACATAAATTATCTAAATCCCATAAAAAAAAACAACTGAGAAATTCTGTGTTTAATTCACATTCCATTCCAAGTTCATATGTTTGCATCTCCTATTGTGGAAATGACTATTTAAAGACATAGATAAGTGTTGTGTGTTGAATGGATGCTTCAGAATGTTAACTTCAGCATAGCGAACATAATCATTATGGTTTATCATTTGTAATAGAGGTATAAGTCAAGACTAGGAACCTGATAGTCATAATTAAATAAGGATTAAAACATAATGCAAACAAATTATAATAACAATAAAAGTACCTTTGTAGATTCTGCCAATAGATCTGTGCGGTCACATATGTAGAAATACACCAGAATTGACCCAAACTCAGCCCTATAACAGATATTCATTGCATATAAGAAGAAATAAACATTAGACAAGTATTTCTCATCATGACCAACACTATAAAACAGTATGACTTACATTGCTCTGAAAGTCGATCGGTTTTCTAGCAAAAAAGAGTCTTCCAAGGTTAAAAACCTAGATAATAAAGCGGTATGAAGGTAAGAAAGACTACAATACAAGCAACTAGAGTGGGATGTCTACTGAAAGATTGTATACAAACAGCAAGCTTGCCTAATTAAGTTTGCTTTAATGGAGGAAGTATAAAACTTCGCCGAAGCTGATTTTGTGAGCCCTCCTTCCAGCAAAACAGCTCGATCATCTTCCTTGACAGTCTCATTTCCCAATTCCACCAAATTATTGTCTGAATGACTGCTGGCCAGAATAGTCAAGAAATCAGCATTGAGATATACAACATTTCTTTCCTTACTAATAAAAAAAACAAATCTTCACTTATCCCCATAAAAAAAAAAAAAAAAAAAAAATCTTAAACTCTCAAACTCTACTGAAAAATATATAGATTGGACAAGAATGATTGGAAAAACAAGAAATGGTGATATATTTTATCAAATAAGATTTAATAGAGAAAATTATTTAGATGGTGCCATATGCATGGCAAGTTCCAGTGACTGCAAGGATACTTCCAATCTAATAATTGACGACAAATTCTGGTTAAAGGACACTAATTAAAATATATAGAAGCTCATCATCTCTTACTATAACCAAGGAGATAATATCAAAAGGCATAAATAACATTAGGCCAGCATCTCATATAACTTTCTCCATCTTGTGGACTTTAGAGAAATACATTATAGTACAAAACATAAAAGTTCTCCATAAAGCATACAAGTCTATCATCCATTTAGTGATGATAGACTAGCCCTCCTACCTTTTCTCACAAGAACCTTACAAAATTACAGGTTAGTATTTTGTTCTTATTTCAGCTTCATATATTGAAGATTATGATTTTCTCATTACATCATACATATGCTAGATAAATTCACAACCAATACCACTCATTAGTGCCCATCAAATTCCTCATTATTAAGACACATCAATTGTCATAAGGAGTTCTGTCCACCAGTATTTAGTCTAAGTAATTAAATTTACATTTCAAACCTTTCTTTTTATATAGCCAACTCCCTCCTCCCTCCCTCCCTCTCCATTGTTTTTGGGGGCAAAATAGAAACTTGATCAAAATATTTAACCACAGTGCTCATGTATATCCCCACTCCTTAGAAGACAAATAAAATAAAATAAAAGAGTTAAAAAAAATAAAAATAAAAATAAAAATAAAAAAGAAGAAGAAGGAAGTGAAAGCTCATTCAAATATTTTAACCACTGTGCATGAGGTAAGCGCTCTAAAGTCTTGCACCTATTTGCATGCAGAAATGAAATAATAAAGAGATATCATAAGTTTACATATCCCACTGCAAACCAAGATGATAAGAGAATCATCACAATCATGCGGTTTTACTATAAAAAGAAAAGGCAATATATATTTGCAATTTATTAAACTACCTAATACACATGCATGTTAATGCGGTGTTTGGATCTTGGATTTGTGAAGAAAAAATATAAGGGAAGGGGTTTGTGAAGAAAATTTAACTTCTCTTTCATTCACTTTTCTTCCCTTTTCTATCTCCTCCATAAATCCAAGATAGAAACACAATCTAAATGTCAGTCCACTAGCACGCAGATGATCAAATGGTTAGCTTGATCTCAAGATACGTGAGAAAGTGATTTGTTAAAGATTACCACAAAATAAAAAGTATACTCTACACAATAATTCCATAGCTTTAATGTTGAAGAAAGAGCCATACACTTTAGAAGGAGATGCAGACTTCTTGTATTCCAAGAACTCGGAATATATCCATGCGACAAAAATGGGTATAAATCCAAGCAAAAAGGACACCTGAGGCATGATAAGGAAAGGCTCCATTAAATAGGTTAGGCAAAACTATTCAAAAGAGACAAGCACATATCATATATTAGCAAGAAAAAGCAAAAGGAAATAAATAGAACAGAAGTTGCAGCACCAAACCAGCTGCAGGTGGGGATTAAATTAGCAGTAAGAGACTAAGAGCAAGAACATATACATAGTCTGAAACTGATTAACTAGAAAAGCTTACCCCAATACAAGAAAAACAATATAGTAAATAATAAACATCAAATGCACTTTGTTTCCTGAGATATTGTTCAAGTTCTAAAAGCCCAATTTAACCATTCTACATCTCCACATGGTATCTGCTTGCACCTATGAAGCACGGACACTTTAAAAAAAGTGGTGTGTCCATGTCGTACACTTCCTGACAAATGTCGGACACTCGTTCAAACATGTTCTATTATTTTTTTTTAAAAACACCTACATGGTAAGATGCAGGTCGATTGCTTATGAGACATACATGAAACACACTATAAGTTTGAACAACTTAAATTTACACCTATTAATCCTCTATCTTTAAATTTTAGAATTTAGTGTTAAGTTGCATTTTCAATTATTTTTTTAATAAAATATTTATATATATATATAACATCTAATAAAATTATAAAACTATATATTTTGCACATGTCTCCTGTGTGGTACGTCCTTCATTTTTTTTAAATTGTTGTCTTAGCATGTCTGTGTCATGTCTCCATACTTCTTAGGGTTGCACACAGCCATACGAACCATAATAGAAGCTGCAACATTCACCTAATGCAAGCCATAAATGCTTACTGCTAAATCCAAACTAAATTCATGAAGAAATGTTCATAGTAGTGCCATCATCCCAAGAAAAATAAAAGGGTAATAATGTTTTGAAGGAAGTTCAAGTCAGCAGAATGGAGCAACATTTTCCAAGTCCAGGGGCTGGCATTAGGGACGATGCTGTAGTTCCATCATCAGCTGTGATTAACTTTCCATAAAGAGATTTGTGTGCCTCGCGTTAGCATCATTGAACTTATTTCACATCATAGAAGAAGCAGAAAGTAAATTTAGACAAGGAATTTAGGGTTAGTTTGGCATGTACTAAATAAGCCAAAAAGTCAAAAAGTCACTATCTTATTTAAGTCACATCATCTTATTTAAATCACATCACCTCTCTAACACATTACATCAAACCCAACCCAAACCCACCAATAAGTCAAAAAGTACACTTTTTTAAGACATCCCAAACCAACCCTTAATGGCTAGTATTAAGAAATTTAATATTATTAGGATTTAGGACTAAAACTATAATTCACTATTTGTAGGTCAGAAGCTGAATTTGATTTTTTAAGTTGCTGCATTCAACATAAGCCACTTGACGCACCACAGTGTTGCCGGCAAGGGTAATTCAATTGATTCACTCACTCAAACAAGTCACTGAACTAAAAAGTCCCAATAAGAAATTTAAGAGAATGGATTTCTTATTCAACTTCATTTTTTTAGTTTTCATAGCTTCTAAATGTTGTGAACGCACATATATATACACCCTAGGCGTGTATGTACCCATTTTAATGAAATAAAGGCAAAATTACTACATTACGTCACTGATCTGAAACTATATTGTATAACATAATGGAAGGCTCATCAGATCAATAACTTTATGAAATTCTTGTGTAATTCATAACAATGGAATATCCCAATTCAACAGTTAATCAGCAGTTACTACAAAGATCTATAGCAGAATTAAAATTATTGATGACGACAATCAGTGACCCAACCAACATGTAATTCTCATCCAGCATTCAATCAAAATCAGTACAGAAAACAATTGTAAGAACAAACTGAGAATAGAACCATACCTGTCCAGGTGTTATAGGCCTAGGCTCCACCATTTCGCAACGAAATCGATTGAAAAACTGTAAGAAAAAATCCAATCAGTGAAGAAAGAGAGAGATAGTGGAAATGGAGATTGGAATGGAGGAAGATGGCATCGATCGATCTAGAGAGAGAGTACCTGAAATTGTACAGAGTGATGCCGTGTCTCTCACTCTCTGTCTAGAACGTCGTCGTCATAAATACAGAAGAGCAAACCCTAGCATCATCGAAGAAGCAGAGATCTGAAGCAACAGGCACAAGTCGTGGTCGTCGTTTGCTTCAAGAATCAATCAAACGTCGGAACAGCCATCCCTCTCACTCTCTCTCTACCATTCTCCCCTCTCTCTGTCTCTCTCTATATATATCTATATATCTATATTTATATATGTTATTGGTATATCTCTCTACGCGTTTCGCAAACCAAGCGCTAGATGGTGGTTGTGGTTTGTTGATCAATTGTTTTCGTTACAAGAGAAATGGAGAGAGAGAGAGAGAGAGAGAGAGAGAGAGATTGGGTTTAGTAATGTGTTTCCTTTGAATGGAGTTGGTTACTACATGATGAGTGATCTTCATATATGTTATGTGAGAGGTTTATTGGTTGGTTTGGATATCGCTACCTGGTGTTTTAATAATGTCGTAATTAATGAATAAAATAAATTTTGTGAATTTATGTTAAATAATTGAAAAACAGCAATGTTAGGAATCATAAAAAGTCTTTCATGAAAATGATCATGAAAAATTTGTAACATTTGAATTACATTTACAATAAAGCACCACATACTAATCAAGGTAATCTAAGGGTCACAAATTTTTCATGATCATTTTTATGAAAAAATTTTCATAATCCTTAACATTTTTCATTGAAAAATATAAGAATAGTGATAAATTATGATTAGTGAAAGGTATGATCAAGTAATATTTTAAATTAATCAATAATTTTTTATGTTATGTATACATATATAATTATATGTTTTTAAACACAAGATTAGTTGATTAGTTGATTGTCTTTTTTATTAAAAACAAGGTTGGTTGATTAATTGATTGTCCTTTTATTAAAAACAAGATTAGTTGATTAGTTGATTGTCCTTTATTAAATTGTTAATTCAACTTTGTCAAAGTCCAAATGAAGCAAACACCTAACTATCTTTAAAAAAAAAAAAATTAAGCAATCACCTTAACTTGTCCATTTGGTCTTTCTATTTTTGCTTGTTTGCTTTCTTATGTTATGGTAAATGAAAGTGCTTAATACAAGCTGTCCAAACTCTATTGAATGTGTGTGATTAGTGCTAAAAACATTTTTTTAGAAAATCATTTTATACATTTGGTTATCACATGACGATGACAACAAAGTTAGAGATGCAAGTGGTGAGCATAGCAAAGGTGATGGTAGGCATAATGGTAATATGGTGAAAATTATTAGGTTGCGTTTGGTAGAGATTTTTAACTATGATTTGAGAGTATGAGTTGTATTTTAAATTTGTAAGTTTGAAAATTATGATTTTAGTGTGAAAAATTTGTTTAGTGAAAGAGTTTTGAAAATAGTTTTGAAAAGAATTTTGAGTTGAGTGGAAAATTTTTAATGTGACATTTGATATTTGATATAAAAACTTACAACTCATAACCAAACAGACAACTCAAAATTATATTAAAGCACATAAAAAAAATTTAAAAATTTGAAAAATATTTTTTTCGAATATATAAAAATTAACATATCAATTGCAAAAAAAAATTTACATTGTTCCAGTCAACCGGCCGGACAACTGGTGAGATGTCCTGTTGGACATCCGATGAAACGACCGGTTAGGCCAAATTTCGAAAAAAAAAAATTTCAAAAATCACGCTTTACAGAGAGTTTTCTGCAGAGTTTTGTATTTATTGTGGAAAACTAGTTCTAAAACTTTATCCAAACATGATGTTCCAATGTGGAGGTAGAATCAGGATTTGAAAATCCTTCCAAACAGAGCCTTAAGGTATGTTTGGTTTGAGTTTTAGAGATGAGTTTTAGAAGAAAAAAATTTCTAAAAAATTGTTTGGTTTGAGATTTTTCTCAAAAAATTTTCAAAATCACTTTATCTCTCTTACACATCAATCAATCATTTTTTCTCTCTCATCTCTCCTTCTCAATCACTTTTTCTCTCGCACTCATCTACTCAATTACAACAAACTATCAAATCATCACAAACTCCCAAATTCCAAAACTACTTTCAAAATATACAACCAAACAAACCAAAAAAATTTCTAAAACAGCTCTCCCAAAAACAAAGCAAACAAGCCCTTAGATTTTGTTAATACAGTCACTTGTTACGAAATACAAAATAATTATATATTTTTTTATAAATTACTATATAAAAATTGGAGGTAGATTCTCTCTAATCTATAATATGGACTAGAGTTGCTATCTAAATTTGTAGAGCCTACTATGGGTCATATTTTGATAATTGAATCATTCATTTTGTCAAATACTTCATATATATTATTTACACAAGAAATTAGTTCAATTTATCACTTTTCTAATGACAAATGTTATAAATTGAATATGTTACGATTATCAAATCAACTTAAGTTTTTTAATAAATGACATATGCAAAAATATTTAATAAAATAAACAATTCAAATTATCAAAACGAGATATATTCACGGTCCTAAACAACATCCATTTATTAGTTCAAATTATGAACCGGAGGAATCCACCTCCATAAAAATTATATAATTATTTTAAAGTTTACTAATGCTCTGTACATGCTCATTATTGTTTAGCTTAGCTTTTGCTTATACTTTAGGCCTCACTTATTTTCCATCATTATCAAATAAAAATAATTTTGCTTACACTTAAACCTCACTTATTTTCATCATTATCAAATAAAAATAATTGTGTTCACTTATTTTCTTTTATTGACTGTTTCAAAGTTTTAGATTTCAGTAGGTAAAATAAATAAATAAAATGGTTACATATATGAGTAAATTATACTTTCCCCATTTCCCCATTAAGTTTTATGATGTTGCTTTGGCTCTTAAAAGTGTGTTTTGTTTTATTGACTTTTTTAAAATATTAAATTTGAGTAGGTAAAAAAAGATTTAAAAAAAAAAGGTTACGTATATGAGTAAATTATACTTCTCGATTTCCCCATTAAGTTTTATGGTGGTGATTTGGGAACCTCAAAAAAAAGTTGCGTTTTGCAGCTCAAAAACACAATCCATAGCAAGCTGAAAATGCAAGCGGATCATTTGGGAAGACCATAATACGCAGGTTGTAAAATTACAAGACTACCCATGTTTACAACTTGAGGGTAAATTTTTTAATTTGGGTATTATGATGTGACATTATAAATAAATATTAACCGAAAAAATCAAAAAATAATCTTTTACCAACTTCTCAAATCGCTTTCTAAAAAAGTCAAAAAAAATTTTGATAAAAGGCCAAAAATCAATTTTTTACTGACTTTCCAAAACAACCCATGATCTTGTTTTTGGCTCTTAAAAGTCCCCCCCAAAAAAAAAATTAAAAAAAAAAAAAAAATTAGCCATTATTCAAAACTAACAATTGTTTGATTTTGGACAGAAAATATTACATGAGCAGCCACTTGGCACTACATGGTAGACTGATAAATTGTATTGTATCCTCCTTAAATTTCATAGTTTCCTACTTAAAAGTATATTTTTTCTCATTTTAACCCTTAATGTTTGTAACATTTTTTCAATTTACTTCAAAAACTAATTTCTATCCAATTTTAACTCCTAAAATCCAAACCCAACAAATTCATATACAAACTTTCGCTACTCCTACAGTCTCTTCCCAATCCCAATCCCAATCCCTACTACCTCATTCCCTTCCACACCTCTCATCTATCCCCTTCATCCATCATCTCATCCTGTACTAAGACCATCGTTCATGTACACCCAAACACTTCTCTATTTAATTGAGTTTTTATAATTTGCTTTCTAGAACATTTTCAGAAATTAGTTTGGTAAAAGCTAAAAAATACCAATTATTTTTAAAAATATATTTTTTGGTATTTATTTTTGTCAAATTATTTCTAATTATTTAAAAAAAAAGTGAAAAATTAACCAAATTTTAATATAATTTACTACTGTTGGCTTTTTGGCTTTTCGAAGGGTATTTTTGTGAATGTGAGCGTGCCAGCAAGGATCAATCAGTCCTTACAGAAATTGTGATTGCCAACCAATTATCAGACGATTGTGTTTTAGTTCTTTTCAGCCTCAATGAAGAGGACTTTTACTGGTGGCTTGACTTAGGAGAACTTCACTTTGAGCACGCAGCTCACACATTTTAATTCTGAACACGCAGCTCATACATTTTCATTTGCACGCAGCTCATTCTTAATTCTGAACATGCAGCTCATAAATTTTCATGTCTAAACACGCAGCTTATTCACTTCACTTTGAGCACGCAGCTCACACATTTTAATTCTGAACACGCAGCTCATACATTTTCATTTGCACGCAGCTCATTCTTAATTCTGAACATGCAGCTCATAAATTTTCATGTCTAAACACGCAGCTTATTCACTTCACTTTGAGCACGCAGCTCACACATTTTAATTCTGAACACGCAGCTCATACATTTTCATTTGCACGCAGCTCATTCTTAATTCTGAACATGCAGCTCATAAATTTTCATGTCTAAACACGCAGCTTATTCACTTCACTTTGAGCACGCAGCTCACACATTTCAATTCTGAACACGCAGCTCATACATTTTCATTTGCACGCAGCTCATTCTTAATTCTGAACATGCAGCTCATAAATTTTCATGTCTGAACACACAGCTCATTCACTTTATTTTGAACACGCAGCTCACACATTTCAATTCTGAACATACAGCTTATACATTTTCAATTTTGAACACGCAGCTCACAACACAACACTGCTCGATCTGAACACACGGCTCATAACACATTAGTTTTTTAATTTTGAACACACAGCTCACAACACAACTCTGCTTGATCTGAACACACGGCTCACAACACAGCAGTCTTTTAATTTTGAACACACAGCTCATTCTGAACATACAGGATGCGAGGATGGAACTGGCAGAAGTTGAAACCAACTCAGATGCCCGACATTTTTCCTTTTTTCTTTTGCTTTGAAGTCTGGAACCTATATAGCTTCAGATAGGTCCTGGTTTTACTGTTCCCGCATAACCTGGGTTGAACCCTGCGGTTTTATGAAAGAAGAAATTTTGTTTTGCACAAATGTGGAGAATGGCACGGCACTCTGAGCACAAAACGATTTTTTGAAAGTGAAATGGGAAAAGGGTTCTCAACCGGGTATTGAGCCTATAACTGACCACAGCCAAAACGACTCAATAACGGGAAACAAAGGTAGAACAACCTAAACACAACACAACAAAGGAAAAATAAGGTAAAACAACCTAAACACATCTATAGGCACCCGAAATGACTCAAAACGAGAATCGAGACAAACAAAACGACTGACACGACACGCAGACGTGTTCCGATGGCAAGAGACCTCTCAGTGCACGAGGAGCCAGTTTCTCCGGGTATTGTTTCCCACCCTTTCTCATTTGTGATTCTCGCATCAC